GTACTCCAACAGTATTTTGTCTATCCCCCCACAGTTAATGCAACTGCATAACAACTTAACTAAAGTCAAGCAGTTAGTCAGAAATCTATAATCTCACCTGATGTGCCCCATACTCCATCTAACCTGAGATTCAGTATGTACTAACGCTGGACACAGATTTGCGGTAACATACACCTTCACTTAATCTACTTAAAAAAATAATTTCAGAGTAGGTCAGAATAAAATCAAATGTAACAATTTATTATCAGTCAGGTAAATAGGTATTATGCCAATTACATAGCCAATTCAAAAATATCAAATCAATACAAGACATCAAATTCTCAAAGATGAATCTGAGAGTAAGATTGCATACCTGACGTTTAGAAAAATACATAGTATGAAGTGTGTGGACACCCTTCATTCTATGGGCTCATTCTGGCTGCAGAATCGCCCCGACCCTTTTGCTGCAATCCTTTAAATACAAAACCAAGATAAAACATCCCCCAAATGGAGGTATGTACAAACAATTGGAATTTGCATTAACCCAGGTCCTAAACCTGGGTAGTTTACACCTCAATGGGAACAGAATGTAATTTACATGGAAGACCCTGGTAGAGGGCACTCCCATTACAGTAAGCAAAATATCTCTTAACTCTTAGGATCTATATTATCTTTTAGTCTACTTTTGTAAGATTGAGACCATTGTACCACTCACCCTGAGACTATTCAAATGATACCAAACATGACTGTAAATAGTATTTGCATTAATGTAGAACATTATACTATTGACCATTCTGAGTGAACCAAGTGGAGGGAGGATGGGTAAGGGGAAGGAAGGGGATGAGAAGGAACTGATGCATATGTGAGAGAGGCGTTTCCTGCACCTCCACTCTCGAAGATGCCCGTGTATGTTTGTATTGTCTGTTTCTCAGGAGATCAAAGTATCTGAGTTTCTTTCATCCTTACACCACCCTGAAAGACCTAACTGTGAGATAGGATTCAATCAATCAAATGCAGTTCTTGTGATGCCCAGTGAAGAGAGGATGTACAGGAGGATCTGATGATTTACAGTGTCAAAAGTGGCAGATAGATCCAGCGGAATGAGAACACATGATCTGGAATCAGCTTTCACAATCCGCAGGGCTTCAGTGACCAACAGTAACACAGTCTCAGTTGAATGGCTGCTTCTGAAACCTCATTGGTTAATGTCCAGCTGGTTATGCTGTTAAATAAATAATGATACATGGTTGAAAACAACTCATTCAAGTGTTTTCGATATGAATGGAAGAAGAGAGACAGGTCTGTAGCAATCTACAAGTGAAGTGTTTAATGTAGTTTTTTTTAGCAGTAGGGTTACCCGAGCCTACTTGAATGCAGTGGGGAAAATGCCTGTGAAAAGAGATGTGTTGATGATATGTGTGAGTGCTGGTAGAATTGTAGAAGAGATAGCTTGGAGAAGGTGTGAGGGGATTGGGTCTAGATGGCTTGTTGTAGGATGGCTGGCAAGGAGAAATTTAGATACTTCTGCCTCAGTGAGGGGACAGAAGGAGGAGAGGGGAGTTTTAGCATTGGATGCGATTGGTTTGAGTTCCTGTGTGTGTAGAGCTAAGAACTGACTATTGGTGGTTTTAGTTTTGTCTGTGAATAATGCAGCAAAATCATCAGCTGTTAAAGAGGTGGTGGAGGGGGACAGAGAAGGGAATTGAATGTTTTGAAGAGATTACATGTGTCTGAAGTGCTGTTGATCTTGTTGTGGAAATAGGAAGATTTGGCAGCATGGACTTTAACAAAGAAAGATTAAAACAAAGACTGAAAAATTCTTAGGACAGATGGATCTTTTGATTTGTGCCATTCTGTCTCTGCTGCCCTGAGTTTGGACTGATGTTCACAAAGAAGCATTAGTTGAGCAGCAGGGGTTGCTGAGCCTTCTGGACGAATCCAGGTGCCATTAAAGCCTGAGATACCAAGAGTAGATTGAGAAGCAATGGATGGAATGAAGTCATTGTTGACAGCTGACTGACAATTCCAGAGACCCACAGGAAAAAGAGATGGAGGTGTAGATGGGGCAAAGGTTAGCAAGATTGCATTGCTGTCTGCGTTAGAGCATTGTTGAGAAAAAACAAGAATGTATTAGAAACACATGATGGATGTGGGGGAAAAGAAGGTGTAAGGAGGAGAGTGTGTGCCGAAAGGAAAATAAAAGATACCTAAGTGCCTTGTCGGTGTCCTTGCTTGGTGGATTTGCACAGGTAGAGTCACAGGTATTCCACATCAGTGCACAGATAACAAATAAATGCACAGCTTATCAACTCTTGAGTGAATACAGTTGTGGACACCTTGACAATTAGCACAACAAAAGCCTATAGCATGCAAATGGCTCAAATCGAAACTACGGCGGGACAGTTTGCCACTTAAGTGCAGTAAACAAGCAGTACAAAATCAAAAGCTTCTTCTTAGCCGACGACTTCTATTCTAATTACAAATATGTGCAATGAAAATACAAATTATAACGAAAGAAGAAGAATAAAAATAGTAAATGAAATAATCATTCTTAAAAGCAAATAAAAATCTAAACAACAGAAACAATGTATTAAGCAAACACTTAGGTACAACTGCCTACCTGATTCTGCATGAGAAGTAAGTAAAGATATACTTAATGAGAGGATTTTTTATATATATATATATCTGAAATATTTGATTGTGTTCTTGAAAATAACATTGTATTACTGAATAAAATATTAGTCAATTATCAAAGAAAGAGAAAATAAATAGGCATAATATGGACAATTGTTGATGCTGTGATACTGTACTACTCAGATACTGTGAGTTCCTTCTCACGTCACTGATTTCACCATTAACTATTCACCTGAACAGTTTATGTTGTTGCATATATTTATTTATTTATTTTTAGTCATTTAGCAGACACTTTTATCCAAAGCGACTTCCAAATGAGGACAACAGAAGCAATCAATTGTAGTATTAAAACAACTAAAAACAGATCCAAAACTAAAAGCTAAAACTTTATAAATGCTACTTATACACATTTTAAAAATAAAGAAATTAAATAAAAATGACAAATGCATACAACAAAATTTCAAAACTTAACATTTGAATGAAGAACAAAAAATAAAGCTAGAAACAAAATCTAAATATTAAAGAGCAAAAGGTATAAGAGTATAATAATGATTCTAACATAACCCTAAGCCAAACACCAAAAAAACAACTACATATGAGTATGTACAACCATACACACATACATACATACATATATATATATATATATGTATATATATATATATATATATATATATATATATATATATATACATACACATTTATAAATTCAATATATATATTATTTAATTTCCATTTAGTTTGTTGAAGTATTAAAATAACTCAAATTAAATAAAACTAAAACTTAATAAAAGACCTATACAGACATAATAAATTCAGACATAATTTAACTCAAATTAAAATAAATAACAAATACAAATCAAACAACAGTAGTTTATCAGTAATCCTAAAAAATAACACTACCAAACTTACATTCTAAAAAACAACAAATTACAAGTAAGAAATGGTTATAAAAACTGAAACAGAAGTGAAACTAGTAATAGGATAGCATATGGTATCATTGTAATCCTTGACCATCAAAATATATGGATAGACATAATCTTCTCTGTGTTATCATGTTTGATTCAGAAGATATGACACAAAATACATAATTTGGTAATGACGGAAAGTAAAATGGCTGCAATGGCAACCACGAGGTGTTTTTGCGATGACTCCATTTCTAAAAATGTTCAGGGCCCAAACTGTACAAGTGTACCAAATTTCATGCTTTTATGAAAAAGTGAACATATCACCTCAAGTTTTGCACATATCACCTGGACTAAAAGTGGGAGGAGTTGGATCTCAAGTTGGTGGAGTTGGTGCACCACTGTAATACCAGTGTACTTACATGGTAACTCCTCAGGAACTGTCCACTTAATATAAAGTGTAACATTCTGGACGGCAACCACAATTTATATGTAAAACCTAACTTACTGGCCGCTGCTGTGTAACATCAGAGCAATTCCATGGTAAATCCATAGAAATTGTTTACTTAATATAAAGTGTAACACTTTCTTTACCAAAAAGTGCTGTTAGTCCTGTTACACATTTGTACTTTCATACCAAAAAATGTTGTTACCAATGTCCTGTTACATATTTGTATTTACACATACCATTCAGTGGGTTGTTACATATGTGTAGTTACACAAACATTACAGCTGTAGATACTATGTACCAATATGTACTTACACTGTGGTTACATACTATGTACACAGTTACTATGTAAGTACACAGGTATTAGGGCCACTTAATATAAAGGGGGACCATTATCCCTTTAATTGGCATGCTTTAATTGATAGATAATCCTCTAGTCGTCATTATCACATGATGCTTCAGAAATCAATGTACCAATTTGGTGTTCAAGTGGTGTTTCCTAGTATCACAGTTGAAAATGGTTGTGCTGCTTAAAATTTTGCCTCAAAACATGATACATTTTTTCAGGATTCTGCATTCTGGTCCATTCTGGTCAGTGTGTGTCATTGGTGTGTTCACAATAGCACATGGCACTTAAAAAATCACCAGATGAAATGGAGAGCACAAGCAGGCAATAGTACAACTTGCCCTTTCCGTCTTGCCCACACTATCCTCCAACACACATTCTGTTTGAGATGGGACAAATAGATTTTCTCCATCTCTCTCTGGTCATTCCAGGCTCTGTTATTGTGTTATTGGTATCAGTGATGTCTCACGTGCTGTAGTTAAATTTGAATTAGGGGAGTATATAAGTGTTTTACAACTCTGACTCCGAGAAAACTCAGATGTAAGAAGTTTATATCAGACAGCAAGATTGGGAGAAACTGTTGTCAGCAGTTAGGATGGTGTTTTGTAACATTGTTGTCACTCCTTCAATTCCTTCTTTTACACTCGCCGACTCTCCCTCCTGATTTTTCTCTTTCTCTTTTCTGTAGTCATGCCAAGCTGATCTTGTAAAAGACAATGGACACAAGTACTTCCTGTCAGTACTGGCTGACTCGTACATGCCCGTGAGTATCTTACAGATGGCACTGAATCATTTTCCACTTTGTTCAAAACAAAATCTGTTTTGTTTACTTAATCTGCTGTGCCATATTTGCAGAGTTCAGACTATTCTTTGTTTTTCAGTTGGAATTTTGTGTACTTTTAACCAATCAAATCATGGATGGACAGTGAAAATAAGATTGACACTGTTAATTAAATTAAGTGTATATCCATGAACTATGGATATAGTTGTTGACTCCTGATTCTTTATCCAGGCTGAGCATCGAACCATGGCAGTCTTCATCCTTGCTGTCATTGTCAACAACTACAACACAGGACAGGTATAGAGATGAAACAGAAATAAAAGCAGATGGTGGTCAAGATGATTAGTGTGGCAAAGAATCAGCACATATTATCTGTCTGTCTGACTGACTGACTAGCAATGGATCAGTACATACATTCCTAAAGATTAAAACTTTGGGCAAGCTCTCACTTCAGGACTGTAAGACTACCTGAATTGCTGTGGTGCTCACACTCCACAACAAGGTTTCTTGTCATCTCTCATCGTCTTGTCATAGCACACACAACATTGAGGAGGTATACAAATGACAAACATTTGGTCGAGAGGCAGTCCTGACCAACAGTGAAAAAAGAAAATGCTTTCTCACATAAATTTACCTAGAAATGTATTACAAGATTCTTCCATTTATATCATCCGCACTGTGATTGGCTAGATTAGTTCCACCTTGTCTTTGTATCGCACACACTACAAGATCACATGGCAATAATTTGAAACAAGTTTGAAAATGTTGCAGCATCTGTGACTGCTCGGGACAGGATCAGATCATGTTGCTGACCTGCTCCTACCTAACGAGCATCAGCAAACACAACAAGCATCGGCAGATTTTGTCACAAACCTTGAAAATCTGTCTGCGACAGCAAAATCCAGCCAAAAGTTGTATAGTGTGAGCTTACCTTACGTTAACTTACCATAGGGTTTACAGACAAACTTGAAAAGTAAATATGAATATTATAGGATGTTTTGAACATATTATTGTTTTACAAGGTTAGAACTTATAGAATAATCTTTAAAAAAAAAAAAAACATTGTCCTTTCTTTTCATCAGGAGGCATGTCTGCAGGGTAACCTGATTGCAATCTGTCTGGAGCAGCTCATTGACCCTCATCCTCTTCTGAGGCAGTGGGTGGCAATCTGTTTGGGCCGAATCTGGCAGAATTTTGATTCTGCACGTTGGTGTGGAGTTCGAGATAGTGCCCATGAGAAGCTCTACAGTCTCCTGTCTGATCCTATACCAGAGGTTCTGAACGTTGGCCAGTTTAATTCTTGTAGATGTTGCTTAATTTAGATTTTCAAGTATTTATATGGTTTACGTTTACAGTGCCTTGCAAATTCAGAACTTAATCCATGAACATTAACCTGCTATAATGCATTACAAACCTTACATACATTTCTTGTTTTCTCTGTTTTTCTGTGTACTCCCAAGTCTATTCCTGACCAGGATATGTACCTCAAAATAAATTATTTTAATATATGCTCAAAAAAGAGTGCTACCTTCCTTCAATAACCCTGACCAAGGCTGTTCATTTATGCTTTGTATTGTTCTCATTCGCAGGTGCGGTGTGCAGCTGTGTTTGCGTTGGGTACATTTGTGGGGAATTCTGCTGAGAGAACCGATCATTCTACCACCATTGATCATAATGTGGCCATGATGCTAGCACAACTCATTAATGATGGAAGTCCCATTGTGAGAAAGGCAAGTTTATTGGAATTTCATCAACTTCATTATAGTCTTAAGTCTGTTCTAATGGTAAGAACTAGGGGTGTAACGATTCACTCGTTTTCTCGATGCATCGATTACAAACCCTGACGATGCATATGCATCGATCTTGAAACATGGATTTTGAATTGTGAATCGTTGATTTCGGACAGTAATCGATTTAAAACGCTAAGAATCAAATGAATCATGATTTCTATAGCGATTCAATGCTTTCAAAATATATACACATTAAATTACTACAAGCACGAATTAATGGAGACCTTGAACAGTGTTCGTGCCCTCGCATCTCTCCTTCACGCGCTCCCCTATTTACCGTCTGTGAATTCGTTCGTCTCACTGACATATTGAGCAGCTGATGTGTGATCTCTCCTTAGTACTCGTGGCCAGTAATGCTAAAGTGAAGTAGTTTTACTACTTGTCTAAAGTATACGCACAGTTCCATTGAATGATAAATGTGTTTTAACAATGTCGTTCAACCGAATGTACGAAGGAAACTGTTAAAATAACCACAGCATTAACAACAACCTTGAAATAAGAGCGCAAGGTTTATCTGAAATTCAGATGCATGAAAGTAGCAGTTTTTGCTTTAGCAAACAGACATCGGGTGTGTTTTCTTTCAGAATTATCATTCACCAATGGAGAGGAAAAGTTAAATACTATAGCATTTTATTTTATGAAAATGAAATAAATAAGTTTTCGTACTGAAAGAGAAGTGATCTTGCGCTCATAGAACTTAAGATGTGCCAGGCTTTATATCTGCAGCTAAGCTGAATTAAAAGCAGAATAAACTGGTGAAACGTTAAGACAATAAACCCAACATGACAATGCCAGACCACATACTGCATCCATTACAACATCATGGCTGCGTAGAAGAAGTGTCCGGGTACTGAAATGGCCAGCCTGCAGTCCATATCTTTCACCCATAGAAAACATTTGGTGCATCATAAAGAGGAAGATGCGGCAAAGAAGACCTAAGACAGTTGAGCAACTAGAAGCCTGTATTAGACAAGAATGGGACAACATTCCTATTCCTAAACTTGAGCAACTTGTCTCCTCAGTCCCCAGACGTTTGCAGACTGTTATAAAAAGAAGAGGGGATGCCACACAGTGGTAAACATGGCCTTGTCCCAACTTTTTTGAGATGTTGATGCCATGAAATTTAAAATCAACTTATTTTTCCCTTAAAATGATACATTTTCTCAGTTTAAACATTTGATATGTCATCTGTTGTATTCTGAATAAAATATTGAAATTTGAAACTTCCACATCATTGCATTCTGTTTTTATTCACAATTTGTACAGTGTCCCAACTTTTTTGGAATCGGGTTTGTATATTTTCTACCTTGTTCTGAGCAGAAAATTGAAATAATTGTTTGTAGTATATAAAACGATTATAAAATTGCCATTAGGAAAAAATTATAGATTACAATGATTGATTATTGTCCAGCACTGTATTTGATTTCTTATAGAAAATTCAAAGTAAGAGATAAGAAAATAATCCTTGTAAAAAAAACAAAACATTCATAATACCTTCATACAATTCTTGTATTTGACATTTCTGTCACTTCTGAAATTATGGTTACGCCACTGGTGTGACAAAATGTTAGCCTATGCATAATACTTTCTTCTTTTTAAATCTTGGCTTACATACAGTTCTACATATGCCATAGCATCATTAAACTAGCATCTAACAATGGACAAAAGTATTTGTAGTTTTCTGTAACCTATGGTTCTCTAACCATAAAGGCTGTTGTGTAATTTGCCCCCTGTGTCACGGTCCAGGTGTGTGGAGGCAGGCAGGATGATGAGGACGACAAGGATACAAAATAAGGATCTTTAATGTAGCGACAAGGCAGAGACACACAATCTCGGGGTAACATTCATAATAACCGACAAACTAGAACACAAGAGCGATGGGTGAGGGTGGAGGCAAGGGAGCTAGGAGCCGAGGTGGAGCCACTGGGTCTATGGACCGAGGCAGAGTCCGGGCCGCGGAGGCGAGGGAGACGCTGACCGTGGTGACGCTGGAGGAGGCCGGAGCGGGTGGGAGGGCGGGCATTGGAGAGAGCTCTTGGGCTGGAGCCCTTCCTGGGCTAAACTGGGGATCAGGAGCCTTTCCTGGGCTAAACGAAACACCAGGAGCCCTTCCTGGGCTGAACTAGACATCAGGAGCCCTTCCTGGGCTGGAAACGAAACATCAGGAGCCCTTCCTGGGCTGGACTGGGGATCAGGAGCCCTTCCTGGGCTAAACGAAACATCAGGAGCCCTTCCTGGGCTGGACTGGGGATCAGGAGCCCTTCCTGGGCTAAACTGGGGATCAGGAGCCCTTCCTGGGCTGGACTGGGGATCAGGAGCCCTTCCCGTGCTAAACGAAACATCAGGAGCCCTTCCTGGGCTGGACTGGGGATCAGGAGCCCTTCCTGGGCTAAACAGAGTATTCCGCGGTCTCTCCTCCTCATTTTGGCCCCATATTCCCTCCATAGTCCGCTCATCCTCAGCCATGATGCCGGAAGCGTAGCTCCTCTCCGTGCTCACACCGTCCACGGCTTGCTCCCTTGTGGTGGGCACTGTCACCGGCTCTCGCACCTGGTCTGACGTGTTGGGCTCCATATCCGAGGCGATCCTCCTCTCAGCCGCGGGGCTTCGCTCCGGCTCGTGGATCGCAGCAGGAAATGGCTCTCCGTCATTGGTGGGCTCTGGTTTATGCTCCGTACCGCGGGGAGATGGTGGGCTGGGCTCAGGGTCCTGAGTGGGGCTGGTGTCGTCGTCAGCGATGCCCACGGTTAGCTGGGACTTGCAGAGCACCCACTCGACGAAGGTGGTGAAGCTCTCTCGAGGACCTTCCCCGGGCAACTGCGCTCGTGTGGTGGCGTTAAGTCCAACCTGGTAGAACGTGCAGAGGCAGTTGTCCGGGTAGTGCGTGAGGTGAGCCAGGGACAGAAAGTCATTGGTGTGGTCCTCAAGAGAGCGTTCCCCCTGCTCCAGCAGGAGGATTTGGAAGGCGGGGTAATCCATACAAAAATAAAAATTGACAAAAACCGGGAAAACAAACGAGGGAAAAGACGCCGCTATACTTTACTTTTTTTGGGGTCGGTTATTCTGTCACGGTCCAGGTGTGTGGAGGCAGGCAGGATGACGAGGACGACAAGGATTCAAAATAAGGATATTTAATGTAGCGACAACTAGGCAGAGACAGACACACACACAGTCAGGGTAACATTCATAATAACCGACAAACTAGAACACAAGAGACAGGAACAGATATAGGGCAGTTAACGAGGGACAAACAGGTGAGCACAATGAGGTGATTAACTAATAATTAGACGGGCTAAACCAACACAAGGGAAGAAACCACAACAAACAGTCCACAGGATTTAAATAATCCTGTGAATGCACTTAAAGAATGCAGAATCGAATCATTAATCGAATCGAATTTAATTTAATTGTGAATCGAATTGAATCGTTCTGAATTTGCAAAAATCGTTCTTGAATGGAATCGAAAACCTACAGTATGAATCGTGAATCTAATCGATTCGCTGTCTACCCAAAGATTCACAGCCCTAGTTAGAACTGTGCCTCTTGGAACTGGGGATTGTTTATGAATCATGATTTTCTCACATAGTGGTTGACAGCAACATTCTGCTCCCATTCTTTTGTCCAAACATGCTGTCAAGTCATGTCAGCAATTATTGCCATTTTCATTTATTGTCAACCATATGTTTACAGTAAATGAGTGAACAACATTGTGTTTCTCTTACAGATCCTGGCTCATATTTGATATAAATATATTTCAAATTTAAGACTATAACCTCAGTACACACAGGACATAAAATTATGTCTTAAAGGAAAAGCGCACCCAACAATCAAAAACCAAACCTTTATGACTGACTTTGTTCTGTTGAACATAAAAGAAGATATTGGTCTGGTGGATGCAGGTGCACGCTCAACATGATTGTGCTGGAGGTTTTGCAGGCAATCGAAATCCACTGTGGTTTCTCTGTTATATAGTCCTTCTATACTGTTACATAGTCCTGTTTACACTGAAAGGGCCAGATTGTCCAGCTTTTCAGTCAGCTTTTGAGGGATGATTGTGTTCAGTGTTGAGCTGAAATCAATGAGCATCATTTTTAAATAGGTGTCCTTGTTTTCCAGGTAAGAAAAACAGGCCAAGGGCATGTTTTATAAACTATATGGTGTTGAATATGGAGGGAAACTTAATGTAGTCTTTGAAAATCCTCTCAAAGAACTTCATAAGTATGTGTGTAAGTGCCATAGGACAATGGTCATTGGGGCAGGACGTTATTTTCTTCTTACGCACATGTGCTTAACATTAAGCAGCACACCCCAGACAATATTTTTCCGGTTTTTGATTATTCGGACGTTTTGTTGGACATTCTAGTCGGAGGTATAGCGGTGCTGTTCAAACGCACGTGCAGTCGCAGAAGAGGGAAACGCTCCGGTGCCCTGGTGAAGCTCTGCGCGTGCGGCTTTCGGACTGCGCTCCCAAGCATTCATCTCGCGAATGTCCGTTCCCTTCCTAACAAAACGGATGAACTACTTCTCCTCACCTGCACCAACAAGGACTTTTCAAACTCTGCTGCACTGTGCTTCACTGAAACCTGGCTGAGTGAAGCCATTCCGGACAACGCGCTTCATCTGCCGGGCTACCAGCTGTTCAGAGCGGATCGCATCGCGGAGTTAACAGGGAAAACCAGAGGTGGTGGATTGTGTTTCTACATCAACGAAAGTTGGTGTTCAGATGTAACAATGCTATAAAAAGTATGCTGTCCTAATTTAGAGGTACTCATCATAAACTGTAAACCTTTCTACTCGCCGCGGGAGTCTTCCTCTTTCATTCTCGTGAATGTGTACATGCCTCCGGATGCGTGCGTGAGCGCCGGAATGCAACAGCTGGCCGAACAAATAACTGAAATGGAGCAAAGGTACCCAGACTCTATTTTAATCATTCTTGGAGA